ATAAGACAATTAAGACCCAGCATTTAATAACTTATTATTTATTAATTTTTTTTTTCCAATCAAACGAGACTTTTTTTTTTTTTTTTTACAAATTACTGAATCAAGGTTTAACTCTTACATATAAATAAATGTCATGCCATTTAAACCCGCATGGGTGTAGCTCAACTGGTTCCGGAGGTGGTAAGTTGGGGGCGAGGGATTTCGCCTTTTGGTGCTTCAGGGGCTATATGTCCTCATGGGCTCACGTATGCTCCATGATAGTTTTTAACTGTTCTCTTTGCATCTTAATAATTGTCGAACAACGACTTACATTATAACACGAATGCTCGGTTTCTCGGTGAAATCGTGATGTAATAATCAATAAATCCGCGTGTATGAATAAAATGCTTTGCTTTTTTTTCCCCCACTTATATTAGTGTTTTCTTTATGGTACTCCCAAATCGAGGAAATGAACTTCCGTTCGACCTAAACGAACTCGTGTAATAAGCCGGTCGATTTTTATTTTTACTAATTGAAATGGTTACTTGTAAATTGTTCGGCCAATTAAAGAATACACACAAGCTAGAACCAAACAAAACTAACATGTTGATTCAGCATTCATCAAATGAATACGAGTTATTTCGTCTCTCGACTCTCATTTCAAAAGGTAGTTTTGCCAAATGTTCGGACAATTATGTGGCTTGTATGCTAATTTTCATTGATCAATCTGACTGCATCAGAATTCTGCAGAGTGTATCCTCTTTCAGGCATTTCATCGAACACCTTCTCTTCAACATTTTACTATGTCTTGTATCATTTCAACTTTGTTTGAAGTCTTATCAGAAATTAATAAACAAGTGGACTTGCTAAAGCAGAGATATATAATCATGTCATAAGTAGTAGATTAGTTTTATTCTCTCATTCTTGAACCAATACATAAATCTGCAAGCTCTCACACAATGAAGAGCAGGTGTTCGATGAAATGCCTGAAAGAGGAAGCATTGTGCAGAAAGCTGATGCAGTCAGTTTTTTTATTCATTATTGAGCTATTCTTGCATAGCCTGCAAGTGTAAAAAAGGCTTATGATATCATCAACCAATACATAAATCTGCAAGCTCCCACACAATGAAGAGTAGGTGTTCGATGAAATGCCTGAAAGAGGAAACACTGTGCAATATTCTAATGCAGTCAAGAGGACTTCTTGATTGGGTCAACCTATTCAAGGAAAACATGAAGGAAACAGTCAGATGGATCAATGAAACTTAGCATGCAAGCCACATAATGAACAGTTTGCAAATCTACCTTCTTCATTCATCAAGTGTATCCGGTGATGATGGATAATCACTACTGTGCTGAGTTGCCATAATTAATGGAAAACAATTGTCAATTGCCTAGTCGTCGTCTCCTTAACATGTGCATCACTACTTTTTTGTCAGTTAGTGGTGAGTTGACTTTCTCACACAAAGTCATCTCTTGTACTCATGAAAATCAAGATCATTTTTTTCACAGTATTGCTGTTGTTTGTATCTGTGTCAAGGAAGATTGAGATAAAAAAAATGGCTTATGCTGCTCTTGTTTCAGTTCTTCAACTTCTTGACCAGACAACACACACAGATCAATTTCACAGCGTCTCTTGTGTCAAACAACTGGTTGAAATTCTCATCGAGAAGTTCTGTTTCTTGCAATCTTTCCTCGAAGACGACTCACCGAAAAGCCAATATGTAATGAACAATTGTCTGGAAACAAGAATCAGAGAAGTAGCGTATCAAGTACAAGACATGATCGAGTTCAATGTCCTGAATCAGCTCTGCCCCGAAAGAGACGAAAGCCCCGCAAGAAGCCCTCCTCCTCCTCCTCCCGAGGCTTCGTATTCAACTCGGACGGTTAAGAAGCCTTCTTGGAGATTACTTTTCACTCTCCAAAAGTTCTTGTCTTTACAGAAGCAAATCAAGGAAAACGTCGAACATGGTGCTAATTATGTCGAAAAGTCGACCGAAAATAGTGCTGACAAAATCAAAAAGTTGAATGTGGTGGATGAAGTTTGTTCCATTGTAGAAGAGGTGATGAAGATCAAGCAAAGTCAAAACACCGAACATATTTTCCAGGTCACCAGAATTTTTTCCGCGGAAGTTAATTCACCGAGAAAAACGACAATGGTGGGATTCGACGAAGATCTGATGGAGATAAAGGATCAGCTGTGCGGAGATTCATCGAAGCTCCAAATCATTCCACTTGTTGGAATGGGAGGAATTGGTAAGACTACTTTAGCCACTAATATATTTCATGATCCATTAATCGAGTATCACTTTCATATTCGTGCATGGATAACGATATCACAGCGTTATAATATCCGTGAAATTATTAGATCACTCTTAAGTTCGATTTCTACAAACACCGATAAATTGAGTCGAGAAACGGAGGATCGAGAAATGGAATTGGCAGTGTGTTTGTATAAAAGCTTGAAGGGGAGGAAGTTTCTCATTGTATTGGATGATATATGGAGCACCGAAGCTTGGGATGATATTAAGATGCTATTTCCAGATGATCGTAACGGAAGCAGGATCGTCTTGACAACTAGGCTAGTGGATGTGGCGGTTTACGCCAACTCATTCGGCCCTTTTCACAATATACAATTCTTGAACGAGGATCAAAGCTGGAATCTTCTTCGAGAGAAGGTATTTGCAGAGGAAATCTGTCCTCCCGAATTGGAAGAAATCGGAAAATTAATCGCAAGAAATTGTCGTGGGCTCCCTCTTTCGATTGTTGTGGTTGCAGGAATACTTTCGAGGGTCAACAAAACACGATATAAATGGGAGAATATTGCAAGAGACGTAAGTTCAGCTGTGACACGTGTAAACGATGAGCATTTCTCATCAAAGATTCTGTCTTTGAGTTATGAACATTTGCCTCATCATCTAAAAGCATGCTTCCTATACTTGGGAAATTTTCCGGAGGACTACGAAATCCCGGTTTTTAAGCTGATTACATTGTGGGTAGCCGAAGGGTTTCTGAAACCGATACTGTCGAAAAGTTCGGAAGAAGTTGCAGTAGATTACTTAAAGGATCTTGTGAAGAGAAGCCTGGTTTTAGTCACTAAAAAGAGATCCAACGGAGGATTCAGATTCTGCAGGATCCATGATCTGTTGAGAGATCTCTGCATACGAAAAGCCGACGGAGAGAACTTCTTTCACTTTATTAACGGGATTCAATACACGGTGGAGGGCAAACGCCGTCTCTGTTTTTCAAAGGCATTCGAGTCTTATCATTTCGAGAATGCGAATACTGCTATTCGTTCGCCCCTCCGCTCCGTTTTTAGCTGTTATTACAACGAAAGGGTAACGGGTTTTAGCCTATTGAGAGTTCTTGATGTTCTAGAAGTAGTCTTCGAGTCGTTTCCCGTTGAATTACTGGAACTGTTTCATCTGAGGTACATTGCTTTCTCGACGGGGTTTATTCGTCACTGCACGCTCCCTCCTTCGCTTCCTAAGCTTCGGAATCTTCAGACATTAATTGTCGGTTCATCCGTGACTTTCGGAATAACCGACCGCATGGTAGCTGCAAAACTACCAATTTGGGAGATGCCACAGTTAAGACATCTTGTCTTTCTTAACATAACCTTGTCTCCTTTTCCTTGTGAAACCGATAAGGAATTCGCCGTCTTAAAAAACCTACAAACACTTTCGAGAGTGAGAAATTTCAGGTTCACTCGCGAGGCAGTTGAAATGATTCCGAATCTAAAAAAACTAAAGCTCGTCTACATGGGGCGATCCCACGTGCACATGTCCGTATACGAGCTCGAAAACCTCGTACATTTTCAAAAACTCGAGACGTTGAATCTCAAATTCCAAACTTCTTCCGATTGGTGGAGAAATCCTGTTCCAGTGAGGTTCGGTCTACCCCTTAATCTCAAGAAGTTGACTTTGAGCGGGTGTGGACTTTCGTTGGAAGATATGACCATGATTGGCTCGTTGGCTAATCTTGAAGTGCTGAAGCTGCTGAATATGAGTCTGGTAGGTGCATTGTGGGAGGTTGTGGAGGAGGAATATTCTTGTCTGAGATTCTTGATGATGGAGTGGCTCGATATCAAGACTTGGTTAGCGGAAAGCGGTTGCTTTCCGAGCCTCGAGCGGCTCGTGATTAGGCATTGTTCGGCTTTGGAGAATATTCCATCTGGGATCGGAGATATTCCAACGCTTCGTGTGATTGAGGTGGATGATAGTGAGATGGCTGAAGATTCGGCGGAAGAGATACTTGAAGAGCAACAAGACCTCGGAAACGATGTTCTTCAAGTTCGTTTCGGACATTAAAACCTTTTTTCGTTGATTTTTTTTTTTTTTTTTTTGAAGCAAAATTTTGCTGAAGAAATATTTGAATGAAGAAAAAATGTGATACAAAAAAATTATGTAATATTAAATATTAATTTTATTTATTACATTTTCCAGAAATACAGGATAGAACATTATTTGGTTGAAATACAGAATCTGCTAAAAAGCACTTTACTATATATAATATAAGAGAGCATGAAAACTCATTATTGTTTTACATTATAACTTATAAGCTTTTAATTCTCCAGGCATCCAGATTTTTCCAGGTCTTAAGCATTTCACCATCTCAGTTTTTCGGGAAAATACTGTCGAAAAAAAATAAAATAAAAATAAATTACCAATTAATTGAATATAAGAAAAGCAAGATTTTTTCGTAAATCTATATATATATATGTACCTTTTGAATGAGGGAAAGGTAATACGGTTTCACTTTTTCCACGTCAACCCGAACCTTGCTCTTGCTGTACAAATCATATTTGCTGCAAACGAAAAATCGACAATAAAAAAAAACGTGCATAATCGAAAATCGCTAATTTCAACGACAAATCAAGAAAGCGAACACTTTACTTAAAAACATGAAGCCACTTTAAATTCTCCTCGTCTTCCTCGTTCATCAAGTGCTTGTACGCTCCCGATTTATGCAATGCTGCACCACAAAATAACTTATTCAAGAACTATTCGATTTTTTTTTTTCCCGCTAAAAATAAATTTCTTTTACTCACCGTAAAACGAGTGGTATCTTATGATAAAAAGGCCGGCCGAGGGCAAAGTCGACTTGTTTTCTTTCGCCACCTGAAAAAAATAGGATTCGAAGATTGATAGACCTATTTATTTGATTTATTATTCAATACCAAAACTAAAAAAAATAATACGAAAATTATTCGATTTAATTATATTTACCAAATACATATAGTCGTCGTGCCCCCACGACATGGACACTTTGTCAAGTCCACAGCCTTTCTCATAAACTCCTAACTTAGTATTATACGCATGGTTACTGTAGTCGGGATTTTCGTTGAAGTACTGCAACAAAAAACAAAATAAAATTCAAAAAATTGTTATTATTAATATTATTCGTCTTTTTTTTTTTTTTTTACTTCTAGTCGAGCAACGAGAAAGACCTTGTGGTGAACAATGGACTCGTCGAACGCACATCCAACCGGAAACGTATCGCCTACAACACATACATACATAACACATTCACATTATTATTATTATCATTATTACTCAATATCCATCATTTAAATAAAACGAACAAAACATCGAAAACCGACTAAAATCAAATACAAATTGCATCAAATTATCAAATTATATTTACCTACAACTGCCCATTGTGGAAGCTCCCCAAAGCTAGGAAGAAGAAGCACCTTCCCAAGATCTAAACACAACACAAGGGAAAACAATTTTAATCAGTTAATGACCATTTTACCCCTCGGAAATAAAATTAAGGACAAGGGTATTTTAGTCAATATACCGTGGATGAGACCGGTCAAATGGAGCCAATCTTCATTAGGGTAATCTCTTCTAATTGCTTCAGCTGTCTGAAGCAAATGTTGAATTTGAGGTTCATCCAAATCAGGGTCACTTTCGTCCACAACATTATTTAGTAGCTCACAGCATTCCCATAGGCTCATTTCCACTTTGTCCAATTTACCATATTCTCCTCTCATTTTCTTCACCTGTTAGTTAATTAATTTAAATAAAAAAATAATTTAATGATAAAAAAATAGAAATAAAAAAAAATATTTTCTTGAATAATATTACTTACAAAGTCATAGGTTTGGTGGATGTGTTGGGTTTTGTAGAAAGTCTCCACCCCTTGTTGCCTTTCACTTTCAGCATCATAATCTCTGTTTCATATTGAAATAATTTATATTTCTGAATATTTTATTTGCAAATAAAAAAATAAATAAATTGTAGAAATTTGAAGGGCTTTTTTGGGATATGGACCAAACAAATATTTAGGCCCATAAAATATTTGGACTTGAGGGATTAATTAAATTGTCATTTTTGTCCAAAGTCCAAAGATGTAAAATACAATTTTTGTCCCTCAAATTTGCACTAATTTCACATTAAGTCCTCCATGTTCAAAAAAAAAAAAAAAAAACAAATTTGACCCTCGTGTTTAAAAAATTCAACACTTTTAATCATTTTCTTCAATTTTCTGTTACTACTAACAGAATCAAGTATGTTGCCATAACTGTCTTAATAATTTATGAAAAAAGGCTAAAAGGGTTGAATTATTGAAAACATGAGGGTCTAAATGTAATTTTTGTGAACATGAGTGCAAAATTGAGGAACGAAAACTGTAATTTTCCCTCAATTATTCAAAGTGAAACCATGTTATATTTATGGCATAGATGAGTCCATAATCAATCATCATAAATTAGATTCTTGAAGCAAAGAATTTATTTAGTTTCAATTAAATATTATTTAATCAAGTTTTAGGTGCATAATTAAATGATTATTGAAGGAGAAAAAAAAGACCTAAAGTTATGGCCAAAAGAATTGGCATGTGGCAAAACAAATCCTCCATCCAAAACCAAATCCTTTTCTGAGTTTGGAACCTTCTTTTCCTCCACTTCAATTCCTGTTTTTTTTTCCAGGCACAATAATAAATTAAACAGAAATTCTAAATAATTTTAAATAAATAAATTTCGCAAAAGTACCAATATTCAGAAAAAAATAACAATTGAAAAAAGGGATAATAAACTTCAAATATAGAGAAAATAATCAAAGAAACCATGGATCTGAAGACTGAAGAGAAATAATCATTAAAATCAAACTGCAATTATTTTGCTTAATTTAATTAAAAAAGTATATATATACATATAGAGAGAGAGAGGATCAAGAATTACTTATGAGGAAAAAATAATTAAAAAAAAAAAAAAAGAAAGAAAATTACCAAAGTCAGGCTGATGAATGAGAATAGTCATCCTGAATTAATAATCAAGATTAATAAAAATATGAGGAATTGAAGAGAGGAAAAGAATGCAAGACAATTAATTGCATTGTGAGAAAAAGGTTAAAGAAAGGGCATTATTTATAATTGCCGGAGAGTCCTTCCCTGTGAATTCGGAGCAAACAAGTCCTTCCCTGAAAATCTTTCACTCTTTCTTTTACATCTTTATTTTTTATTTTATTATTATTATTAAAAATACTATTAAATTCAACTAAAATGGTTAACGTAAAAAAAAAAAAAGGAGGGAGAAAAACCTACTCATGCAGCGGCGGATTTTTATTTATTTATTTATTGTTTTTATTGTGTGG